GAAAAACTTTCATTATATATTACATTTATTTTATTTAAATAAGTGAATAGTCAGCATTAACACATGTTATTTTTAATTTCAAGTTAGTTTCAAGATACTGAAATACTCACATAAAGGAGCTGCAGGGGTCCAGTGAATCGTCTGGGTGAAACTCCTAAAATGTATTTGAGTTGAGAGATGATGACATGGGTGGCCGCGCCTGTCGTGTAGCCCCGCACTAACGGCTCGGAGAGATACGTCACTACAAACCCGAACCGAACCAGACCCAATAAAACCTACAGAAAAAGACGCAACACAAAATGAACAAAAACACTTTTGAAAAATTATTGGAATAGACGGACTGCATTGGTTTCAAAATGTATTGTTTTGTTCTCTTACGAGAGGTTCTCTCGTACTGCGTAATATCTTACGCTAGGGGAAACAACTCTTTCCTTGAGATATTAAAGTCCAAAAATTATCCTTAATTTTGTATTAATGTAAAACATGTTGTGGCAAAGTGCAGAGATAGGCCAGGCGGCTTAGCGTGCCTATTGGCTGTCCTGCGGCAACTGAAGCAGCCTATCTAGGTGGCCCTTTGTTGAAAGATGGATGCGAAAGACAGAGGCTACCTCTCGTTTACCCCTGTGGAAGAAGCCATAGCAACGCATCTTTGCCCACCCTCTGCTGGACGGCGTGCTAACTTGGCGTTACCTTCAAAGGCTTGCCGAACTTCCTCAACCATGCACACCCGCGCTTACAACGCTCCTGGACAGGCTGTGTCGGCTCTTTATTCCATGACCATACTGCAGATACTCCAGGCCGACCTTCTTCGAAAAAGGGACGAGGAAGGCCCGGAAGCTATCAACATGCCAGAATTACGCAGCGCTACAGACCTGGCTCCAGACAACTTTGGTTGATGCTGTCGGAGATACCGGAAGCAGAGCGCTCTATGTTCCTCGACGCGCCCATCTCCTCGGCCAGCCTCTTCGGATCTTCCGTCAAGGATTTTGCAGAACGATTCGTAAAAGGTCCAAAAGACGTCACAGGCTCTAAAGCACTTCCTCCCGAAGCCCAAACAGAAGTCAAACGTACTTCGAGCCGAAATAGCGACTTTGTTGAGCAAAGGGGCAATAGAACCTTTCTCTCAAGCTCAGAGCGAAGGGGGCTTGTACAGCAGATATTTTCTGGTCCCACCTTACAGTATCATCTGCCCCGTTGCTTCGGCGCAGACTACTGCACTCGCTTGAGCATAGCTCGATGACCGATAAAGCTTTTTCCCAAGGGAAAAACAATGCCAATACTGTTACTCAGTTCAGGCAGAAGTTTTCTCTTCACCCTGGCTGTGTGTGACACTGTTACAACTCGGCTACTAACGTAACCTCGGCTCTCTCTAGAAGAGGGAACGAGTACTACGTATCTTGCCGTACCAGCAACACGTTCTGGTTCGCTTCGCCGATGATAAACCATTGATGTCAGCCCATCGAGCTATATTTATAGGGCTAGGCCACGCCTGCTTCGGCGGGTATGTGACGCAGTGAGCGAGAGCGCCCCCATTAGACCGTCACCAAAGGCCCGCTCAGTTGCTCCAGGACAGCCAATAGGCACGCTAAGCCGCCTTGCCTATGTCTGCATGCTGCCGCAACACGTTTTACATTAAAACAAAATTTTGGATAATTTTTTGGCTTCAATATCTCGAGGAAAGAGGAAAGAAGATTTTAAGCAGTACTCGTTCCCTCTTCTAAAGAGAACCGAGGTTATGTTAGTAACCGAGTACGTTTTTCTACATTAATCCTTGGTTTGTTTGTTTGTGCATTCTTTTATTTTCTTATTTATTTATTTGATATTTTTCTCATTCCTTCATATGTTTTCCCCCACACATTTATTGATTATTTGGTTACTGTGCTCACTCTCTCATTCTTATGCATTTTCATGTTTGTTTTCTCATTTTCTATTCATTTGCAAGACTCACTTGAAAGATGCCGCACAGTAACGTCGTTGCTGCGGCTACTTTCACCCGTTGCACGTCTCGCGCCTCCGTATCCATGACGACTGATCCATTTGTCCCATTGGTCAGAAAGTGATCACCAGGAGCCAATTGCTCTGAGACGCTCCCAATCATTATGCTAATCACCGAAAAAGTCCCTAAAAGCCATTAAAAGCGTGGAAATGTGTTTTACTGAATCCCACTGTCAGAAATGATTATAAGATATGTATATCCATATGTATGACAATTATGCGTGATAATGCTGTTTTTAGATGTTTTAGATGTCACATTTTCACATTAGCTACAAACTTTCTCTTCCCCTCACCTATGGAGACGTGTTTAGAGGTTCCAAAGATGAAGTACACCAGTACAGGATAGAAGGAGGTGTAGAGACCAAACACAGGGGGGACAGAAGCCAAAAGAGCGTATGCCATACCTGAGAATCAATCAACACACAGAAGACAGTTGATATAAAAAGTCATTGCAATTTACCAGACTAGAGTGTTTTTGCAAAGAAAAGTGGGAAAATATTCCCATGTCCAAACAGACTGAGTGCTGTATGCAGTTAGTTATTCCAGGAATATGACATGATTTATTTGCCTCATTTTTTACAACACAATAAACAGATGTTTTAACGGGGGTGTGTGTACGTTTTATACCCACAAATGTATTGATTTTTATCCAATGTGTAGTTTTTCTTTGTAACTTGAACTTGTAAACTGACCCTGTGGAAGATGCATGATTCCCACACTGACACCTGAAACCAGGTCACCAAGTCCATTTTTCTGAACGGAATACTGGGGGATCCAGGACAGAACTGGTATCCACGTTAGAATCCAAATCTTCCACTGTCCTACAGAGCACCTTGCAGACAGTGAAAGAATAAGAGTTTTATAGAATGTGTCACTCATAGTTTAACTCTTCCTGGCATCATTGGCTAAGCAACAATATCCAATGTATTAAAGATTTCATTAAAGACAGACAGACAGTTGTCTTTGAATCTTACCTTATGGAGTCACAGATCTTCTTCTTTATTGACGGCCTGTGGATTTCAGTCTGCCGTTGAGCTACTTCCTCTAGTTTAAGTTCATCCAGGATGATCCTCTCCACACAGAATTTTGCTCCAGCATGTTCAGAGAAACCCATGCCTGTCCTATTCATGTTCATTGTATGTTCCTTTTTGCCTAGGTTTGGGGGTTTCGGCAACTCAAACCTTCAAACCCCTCCCAGGGGGTAAAGTATAAATTGAGATGTTTTTTTCTCCCTGAGAATATATCTGTGACGATTCTTCTTTTCACTGAGAATAATGAGTCCATTTATAGGTTTCCATGGAGCGATGACAGACAGATGAAGGAATCATCAATAGGAGCAGCCAAAGGATTCCTATAGGGGGGATTTCAGTGTGCAGGTACCTGGAGTATGTCCATATAGGAAAAGTGCTAGGGGTCATTATCAGAGTCTTCAAAGATCCATCCCAAACCACACCCACAACAGTCCCATAAACACAAGTGTGCCAAATATCACACATCTTTTAATTAACTTGTGACACTTCACTAACTCACAAACACACGGACAAAACACATGGACAAAAAGAGTACAATGTGATAAATATAACAAAATATAATAAGGCAACATCTTATTTGTCATTGAGCCATAAAAGGTGTCCTTTAAGCTTTTATTTTTATTTTCACCAAAAATCCCAGAATTTCCCAAATGTGCCCATTGGCCTCTTTCCATCATGGTCTCCTAATCATCCCCATATTAAAAACTTCCAATTGGCTTCATCACTGTCTCCACCAGTAAGCTGCGGTGTGGTGAGTGTTCTGGCGCAATATGGCTGCCGTCACATCATCCAGGTGGATGCTGCACATTGGTGGTGGTTGAGGAGATTCCCCCTTCTATGTAAAGCGATTTGAGTGCCGAGAAAAGCGCTATTTAAATGTAATGAATTATTATTATTTTTATTAATATAATAGCATCTGAAGGGTTGAGATTGACCCTCCCCAGTTCAATGAGATTAAAGCACGGTTGTGGTCACTGACAGATATTCTTGAGTCCAGATAGGTGAAACTGAATGTGGTCTCTGGTCACTCTTTCTCTCAAGGCTTGGTTTGTATACTCATGGTTTAGAGGTGAACAGACGCTAGATGAGGTGGACTAAGCCACACGAAGTGGTCCCCTCTCTCATCTGGCACCCTCCCCAATCTATCAGATCTATCAGGGGACCTATTATGCCCTTTTTTTTTACATCATTAAGTCTGGTGTTCCCAGAACATTTCTGTGAGGTTTCAGCTCAAAAACTTCAGACACTTCTGTAGCAATGGCTCATTGTGTCAGCAACTGACAATGTGTCTCATTACTTTCTCGGGGAACCAGGTTTACATAACCCTACAAGTTACCTTTAAATGTTTGGTCTCATTTAATCACATCAATAGCCTACTAATACAAGCTCAGCAACTAATATGAAATACTATGTTCAGTTGTATTTGTAAATTATCATAATGTCAATCAAATGATCTTTGACATAATAAGAATAGATACAAGTTGAATAAATACAATTTGTTTGATATTTTATAATTCAATGCAAAAACAATAATCTTCGGTGTGGCTTAAGTGTCCAATTCTTTTATTATTATTATTATCCACAGTAGGCTACAGAAAAATTCTTAAGCGAGAATAAAAACAACGTTCTTTCTGAAGAGCAAACCATGGATGTAAAAGCCATTGAGAGAGTGATTTTGTAGGGTTTACTGTAACTAGGTAGGATTGAGGTCAGCAGTCCCATCCATCAGAGTCTGGCTGTTGGCACTGATGCGCGTCACCTGATGATTGACAGCACTCCACCCCTCCCACTCAGAGTCTCTCACCATCCCACCGCATAAATATTGGCAGAAGATGTTTGAGACGTTCAGCATAACAACATGCTAGCATCTTTCCTATTATTTTATTCCCGTAAATGTCAGAAAAACTATTTTTAAGTCCGTTCAAAACAAGGCTCACTTCCCAGGTGAGCGGAGCCTCCGCGCGCGCGGTTGCCATGGAGCAGCAGCGGGTCACTGCCGCGGCCTCCACACACACACCGGAGGAGCGAGCGGAGGGCCAGAGTTCAGTGAAGAAACACCATCACACACACAGACTCAAGCGCCGGTATGAAGTGCTGGAGACGCTGGGTACGGGCACGTACGGCAAAGTCAAGCGCGCGGTGGCGAGACAGTGTGGAAAAACGGTGAGCGACATTGTTCTTAGTTTTGAATTCACATGTCACTAATTAAATGCTGATATGAATCTATCTATCTATCTATCTATCTATCTATCTATCTATCTATCTATCTATCTATCTATCTATCTATCTATCTATCTATCTATCTATCTATCTATCTATCTATCTATCTATCTATCTATCTATCTATTATCTATCTATCTATTATCTATCTATCTATCTATCTATCTATCTATCTATCTATCTATCTATCTATCTATCTATCTATCTATCTATCTATCTATCTATCTATCTATCTATCTATCTATCTATCTATCTATCTATCTATCTATCTATCTATCTATCTATCTATCAGGAATTTAAACAATTTGTTTTCAATAACTGTAAAACACATGGACATAAAATCTTGAGGAATTAGAAATATTCCCATACAATGATTACCAACCAGAGGAACCCCATGGAATACTTAAGGAGGTTTGGGGATTTTTGATTGTGCTTTGTTTGTTATACCTTGAAATGACTTTCTTTATTATGAAATTGGGTAAAATAGTTGCTTTAACAAATTCAGTTTTTACTGTAAGAAAGAATTTGGGTTTAGTTCACGATTTTTCATATACTTTAATTGATGAGATTGAAATTCAGCCATACAAAAACGGCAAATTGTTTTGCTTTTGTGAAGCATCCGATCTGGTTTTGTGGATTTGTAAATAAGTTCACTGTTACAAGAAGGTCTTTATTTGAGAAAATGTCAATATGACATGTCAAAACAAGTGTCTCAATAAAGGGAGAGGAGACCTCATCACCGATTTTCATCCACAGTATTGATTGTTTTAAATTTAAAATTTAATCATTATACAGCAATTTTAATCATAATAATGCAAAATGACATCGGTTCTGGTTCTAGAGTTGATGAAGGCATACTTGATCCTGCTTCTGAGATAACAAATAAAGTATAAATGATGCCTATATAAAATTATAATGATTTGACAAAAACTTTTGCAGTGAAAATTAAGAGTTATGGAAATGTATGGACAGAAGTTCTGACAAAAACAATAAAGTATTACATTTCAAATTTAAAGTACGCATAAATAAATAAAATCAATAAATGATTTAACTTGAAATGCTGGAGTATTCCCAAAAATATAGCGATAATGTTTTTTTCTTATTATAATTCCTAATAATGGCAAAATTGTATTGATTTATTTCATAAAAATGTATAATGACTTAATTTTTCTATTCTAAAAGAGTAATATCCAGGATGTCCTCTGACGTCAGTTCTGACAGCCTGTCTGTCATTCAACACAACTTAACTTAGCAATTCACCTCAGTTAATTACTCTTAGGGTCTTACTTTTGGGGTCATCCAATTTGTGTGTGTGTGTGTGTGTGTACTTAGACCTCATGTTAGCACACTTAATTAAATACTTATCACTCAGTCTGTCATTAAACAAAAACAAAGAAGATATTTCCCCTAGCTTGCTGTCTGCACTCTTTCACAGCCTGTAAACGTTAATGGAAAAAACGGTCCAATCAGATTAGAGCAGCAGCTGAGCCTCTCTCTCTCACTCTGTCTCTCATCTGGACTCAGAGGTGAAGTATTCCGGAATCCGGGAGTCTTTGCATAGCAGGGATTCCTGCAGACAAACACTAACAGCATTCAGAGGAAGCTTTAGTGCTTTGTGTATGTGTTACAAGGGAGCGAGGAGTCTCTCCACATCTCCAGATTGGGGTCAAAGGTGCTTGGCAGATTCCCAGATGCCACTGCCAGTGCCGTAATACAGACAGCAGGTTTCGGCCACCTCCGTTAAAGTTTTTTCAGTGATGAAATTTCGATATTTCATGCTGTAGACCCGCTCAGAGTGGGTCGAATAGACTGATTACTTTTGGTGCCGTGACCCGGATGGGACAGGAGTGAGGTTTAGGGGGGTGAGTGTAACAGATTTAGGCCAGTAAGAGCTGTGTATGTAAACTTCACTCCCCTAGCCTCAAGAGTGCACACTAAGAAGAAATTTATTCAAGTCAATCTTAATTGCATTTTCCATGTTTTTTTTTTAAATAACTTAATAAATGAGCATCACATAATTGACCCATATTCTTACAGACATTTGTGTTTTGTTCAATGATGTGTTTGATTACATTGTGTCTTCTTCAGGTGGCTATTAAATCCATTAGAAAGGAGAGATTAAGGGATGATCTGGATAGGGCACACATCCAGAGAGAAATTGAAATCACCGCCTCTCTTACGCACCCAAATATCATCCGCCTATACGAGGGTAAAGCACAACAGTATCACATTACGATATTGTTTGTCGCATATCCTAATGCAAAATGCTGAATCATAGAGATTAAGATACTCTCGCTTTTCAAAAACCCAACAAATGATTCATGCAATGTGTGTGGATATGTTTTCAGTGTTTGAGAGCGTGGAGAGGATTGTGATGGTGATGGAGTATGCGAGTGGAGGAGAGCTTTACGAGTACATTCAGGAGAAACAGAGACTGTCAGAGGATGAGGCTAGACACTTCTTCGGACAGATCACCTCTGCTGTGCACTACTGCCATAAAGTAAACACATTTATGTTCTTAAAGTTCACTTTGAAATTCAATTTTGGTATGTTTTAGCTTACCTCAAGGGCATCCAAGATTTAGCTTGTCTTTGTTTCCACAGTATTTTCAATTTTGATATTTTTAGGTCAAACCGTTCATGTCTGTCAATCATATAATGGAGGTCTATGGTCACCACGTCAAAGAGCATGCACAGAGAAGTCCAAATTAAACATGATTTAATGACTCGTAAATGTAAGTACACATTGATGGCCTAAGACACAAAACGAGCGGTTTGTGTGAGAAAACGAACAGTATTTATATTGTTTTTACCTCTTGTACCCACAGCCACGTCCAAGTGATCTGAAGGCACGGGCGCTTCTGTCTGCGCAAGCGCCGGAAGTGATCTCTCGCGCGGGTACGTCACTCATTGTTTTTCATCGTCACTCATCTTCACATTGAAAGGTAAGACTTCAGAAATCTCTGTAAACAATGAGTGACGTACATGCACGAGAGATCCCTTCCGGCGCTTGCGCAGACAGAAGCGCCCTCAGATCACTTGGATGTGGCTGTGGTTACAAGAGGTAAAAATGATATAAATACTGTTCGTTTTCTCACACAAACCGCTCGTTTCGTGTCTTAGGCCATCAATGTGCGCTTACATTTACGAGTCATTAAATCATGTTTAATTTGGACTTCTCTGTGCATGCTCTTTGAGGTGGTGACCATAGACCTCCATTATATGACTGACAGACAAGAAGGGTTTGACCTAAAAATATAAAAATTGAAAATACTGCGGAAACAAAGACACCTACATCTTGGATGCCCTTGAGGTAAGCTAAAACATACCAAAAATTAATTTCAAAGTGAACTATCCCTTTAAATTCTCATGGCATTATTTCTACATATGAGCAGTTTTTCTTGAATAGGGATTTCAATCATGACAATTCTCTGATTAGATTTAAACAGCACTTTATTGTTATGAATGATATGTATAGGCTTAGTCTTCTAAAACATGCACACAAATAAAGGCACTAGGATATGAGCTGCTACAAGGAAAGTCAGGAGAACCTCCTTGCAGATTTAGGCAGGTGGTGCTGGGGACGGGGAGGAGCGAGAATGCAGAGCCAGTTCAGGACAGAAATAAAGAAGTTACATAGAGTGAACAAAAAGATTGTTTGGTCATGCAGCCGGCTTTAGGAGAACCAATCAGCTGCTCGGAAGAGTTCATTATGTATTTCACCTACAAATGCTAATAAATGTATTAAATGTGCACAGTCAGCATTTTACTAGTCGAATGTACCTAAATGTAACATCTTTTAATAAACAACATTCAAATTATAGATGGAAGTTCAGTTCAGTTAAGCTGACAAATTTGTTATTTGTAACTTTTATTTCTCCTAAATACACCCTAAACAAAAAACATCCTGTTTATTGTTGTATTCATCACCGAGATAACAGTGCTGGCAATGAGAAATGTTTGGGAATCTTAGTAATATTACGAAACTGAATAATAATCAAAATACTGCAAACAGAAATTAGTACTGTTTACAAATTATATATTTATATCTATAGTATATGTAAATTGGTTATATATAGTATATTTTGTATTTATATTTAGTCGGAATTTCTATCTCAACGCAGTCTGTACATTAAAATCAGCCTTGAAGTCAAAGATTTTTCGACTTTAGGACTACGCTGTTAACACATTACATTTGACAAAAACACTGTAAATAGGATTTTTTTTTTTTTTTTTACATTTATTTAAAAACAAACTTAAGAAATCTCTTGTTGTCCCTCAGAATGGTGTGGTTCATCGTGACCTCAAACTCGAGAATGTACTTCTGGACAAGGACTTAAATGTGAAGGTAAACAGTCCAAGCCCAAACTGATTCATGAAGAACTGACATTATGTTTCATGCATTTTCATTTTCATTATCACATTACAGAAACTGATGAATCCTTTGAGAAAAGCAATTCAAACTTAATGCACTTGGAATTTTTTTAAATCATTAGTACGGTGGACACAATAACAGAAACACTATATAAGATAAAGGTAGAATTATGCTTGATCATCTTCATTTTCTTCCTGGAATCTGTCAAACATGCCTTGAACTATTTTATTGGACATTGTTTTTTCGCTTACTTTTGGAATTTTATTTTTTAAGGATGATGAAGTATTAATCGACTTGAACCCCAAATGTCTCAATGAAGGTTTAAGGATGTGCAGATCTGGTGGCTATGGAAGGCATTTGACTTCATCCTGGTCATCCTTCAATTACTTTAGCACTGTTTATTGGAGCATCATCATCCTAGTTTATGGGAGCATTATAAGGGAACAATGTTTGCATTATTTTGCACAGTAAAACAGCTTCATTCCTTGGTCATTACAAACCGTATTGAGCAATCATTGGATCAGATGACACTTGCAAAATGCTTAAACCTCACCATGATTCATAGTTGGTAACAGACAGGTTTGAAGGCATCCTTTGTCTCCATATGTTAACTGGATGTAGGAAATATGATGAAAGATGACTTTTATTCGTTATACAGAGTCTGCCCTGAACAGTTTTGGAGTCACAAAAGTTTCATTTCATATGGAAGCACAATTTAAGTCTAATTGCAAGAAATTCTGCATAAACCTTAATCATATTAATATGATAATTTATCATAATATGATTAATCTCCGCAGCTCCATATATAATTTTAATTCTACTTTAAAATCAACCACCTTTCATTTGGATGTGGACATCTGCTATCTGTATCCACCCTGTGTGAATCAGAAAGAGATTTTATTAAATAAATCGATGCAAGACAAGTCACCCATTTTAATACAGAGTTGATTAATCGCTAATTGCTCTGTTTGTTTGTAGCTAGCTGACTTTGGCTTGTCCAACCGCTACACGCGAGGCCGACGTCTGGACACTTTCTGCGGGAGTCCCCTGTATGCTTCACCAGAGATCGTCAACGGACTTCCATACTACGGCCCTGAGGTGTTGATCAGTCTCAAAAGTTTGCTACTTATTACAGAAATAATAAACTTCGAGATAATACTGTTAATTGGAGTTAAATGAAAATATATTATAGAAATTAAACGGAATTATGTAAAATTAAGAATGCTTTTTTGACCTACTTAAGTACAATTTTATAATTACTTCTATTGGCTTTAAAATATGGTTTAAAGTGCGCTGCTTAATATACTGACAAGCATTTGGGGTAATTTTTTTAATGTAATTTCTATCCCCCTCAGACCTCCCGAAACAGTGCACATTTTATTGTGGCCAGCCTAAGGCACACCTGTGCAATAATCTTGCTGTCTAATCAGCATCTTGATATGCCACACTTGTGAGGTGGATGGATTATCTCGGCAAAGGAGAAGTGCTCACTAACACCGATTTAGACACATTCGTTAACAATGAGAAATAGGCCTTTTGTATGCATAGAAAGTCGTAGATCTCATGAAAAATGCGGGGCAAAAGTGTTTATAATTCTGTTCAGTGTATTTAAATATATTTGTAATTGCAGATTTGTAATGACAAAGCTGCATTTTAATACATTTACTTTAAATGTAACAGTGCTTTAGGGGGCTTACACACTGGCAGTTTAGTTCGGAATGGGGGGAAAAAAATCGCTAATGTCATGGGACACGGGTGCGCACTGGGGTACCGGATCCGAGACTACGTACCTGGAGGAGGTGGTCTGTGTTCGGTTGCTTCCGAACCGTGCCGCGGTTCGCGTGAATGTGAAAGCAACACGGATTCGGGCGCACACTTGTTCAGGAAGTAAAGTATCCTGTGCATGCGTTTTAGCTTATTGTGATGTATTCAGTTAAATAAAACACTTGTAAGGGATGATAGTGTTGATGAGTGTTTACCTTAGATATGACTATGAGCGAGAGTGAGCCTGCAGTGTATTCGTGCATTGCGCGTGGAATCGGAGCAACACATTTGGAAATCCACTGTCTCCTCAAAGAGTCTGTTTGCAAGCAGCAGAAGTCCACCTTATGTGACACACGCACAGTAAACCTTTATTGTTCACTCAACTGTGCATAATAGTAGCAAAGTAATAAAAAAAACACAATATTTACCCACGTTCTGCTTTCTGTCATGCGGAGTGCACGTTTGCGATGACGTAGGATGCACGCAAATGCACCAGGGCTCAATAGAATCAAGTTGAGTGTGAAACCAGACCAAACCTGTGGGGGGCGCCAGGAACAAACACACTCTGGAGTGCGTTTCCCGAAAGCATCGATAGCCAACTATGGTCGCAAGTTCCGTTGTTATCTGCATAGTTTAACGAGCCGGTGTTTCCCGAAACCATCGTTCCAACGGACATTCGCAAACAGCATCGCAAAGTTGTGTGGTTTGAACGACAGCTCTCGACCTGGCATCGTTTCTATATTGCATGACATTTGGAGGTAATAAATCCTTATCTTGAGCAAAATAAGCAAGCTGACAGTCAGTACAACCGGTGCCTTTTATTTAGAATACATACAAATGTAATTTACGTATTTTAGTTTGTCAAAAGATTGGAAGTAACGTGTTTGAAGAGTGCGCATGTGCGAACGTGCATACTATGTAAGAACGAGCCAAATATTGAGTCTGGTAATAAAGCAAAATAACTGAGAACAATTAGAAATAGTCCTCAGATGACATGTCTGTAATTTATATAAACAAATCTAGCGTTAATTGTTTCATTAAAAGTAGTTATTACTCCACCACGTGCGAAACCAACGTGGTTGAACGATGCTTTGCCACAGTGAGTTTCGGGAAACAGTCGTCACTAGCTAGTTGATTTTTCCAACGATGCATCGTACTATGGTAGCGAATCAGCGAACTACACCGTTCTACGGGAAACGCACTCCTGGCTCGGACCGCAGCAAACGAGCTCAGTGTGTACAAGCCCCCTTAGTTTGTTAGTCACCACGTCAAAATAAGTACTCCTTTAAAACACAACAAAAGATTAGTAAAACGGAATGATTTAAAATGTACTTTTAATTCTGTCACTACTCGCCCTCATGTCGTTCCAAACCCATAATACTTTCGTTCATCTTCAGAAGACAATTGCAGATTTTTTAGATATGAAAGTATGAGTTTTCCGTCCCTCCATTGAAAGTCTACGCAACTACAATTTCAAGCCCCAGAAAGGTAGTAAAGACATCATGAAAGTAATCCGTGACTCCAGTGGTTTAACCTCAATTTGTGTTGAAGGTGCTTTGTTTGCTTAGTCTTTTAATCTCCAACTTGCTTCTTATTCACAAGGGCAGGCATTTAATACTTTTAAAATTTCCACTGTTTGAACAGATTCTGCATGTGCTCCTCTTATGTCCCAGGTGGACTGTTGGTCTCTTGGTGTGCTGTTATATGCTCTGGTTTACGGCTCCATGCCCTTTGATGGCACGAGTTACAGCATCCTTAAAGAGCAGATCCGCCAGGGACGATACAAGACACCTGATATCCCATCGGGTGAGATTCATACCATATATCATGCTCTCCATCATAAGTGAGAATTTCCTTGACTCTTTCCATTCTTCCTACAGAGGCCTGTTCATTGATTGGATGGATGCTCACAGTAGAAGTAGAGGACAGAGCCACTATGGAGGACATAACCAACCATTGGTGGCTAAACCAAAACACTCCCAACTTCCCACATGCTTCATTCTCAGGAGTTACAGAGAGTAAATC